AGACAGAGATGGAAGAAGAAAGAAGCTGAAACCAAGGGAGATATGCCTTATTCATACAGCCAGTTTGGCCCTGTGAGCTCCGGCCCCAGCTGACCCTATTGCCTCAGACTCCCAAAGTGCTGGGTTTACAGGCGTGCACCACCACTCCTGGCCCCTCTTTCAGTTTTAACCATGGCTTTTCTTTTCTTTTTCGAGACAGGGCCTCACTCTGTCACCCAGGCTGGAGTGCAGTGGCATGATCTCGGCTCACTGCAACCTCTGCCTCCTGGGCTCAAGCAGTTCTCCCACCTCAGCCTGAGTAGCTGGGACTACAGGCGCCCACCACCACGCCTGGCTAATTTTTGTACTTTTAGTAGAGATGGGGTTTTGCCATGTTAGCCAGGCTGGTCTCGAACTCCTGATCTCAAGTGATCCACCCACCTCAGACTCCCAAAGTGCTGGGATTACAGGTGTGAGCCACCACACCCGACCGCTTGTTCAGTTTCTACAATGACTTTCCTATTCCTCCAACACACCAGCCCACAGCAGCAGACCCTGAGCATATGCATTCTTCTCCCCTTTCCATGGTTGCCGGTTCTTTCTTTTCATGATGGTCTTAAATGTAATCCCTTCAGAGAGACCTTTCTTTTGCATCCCCAATTTACAGACACCATCCCTACCTGGGCCCCCAACCAGCATTCTGATGCTACTTTGAAAGAAGAAGAAGGAGGAGAAGGAGAAGGAGAAGGAGAAGAAAGAAGAAGAGGAAGAGGAAGAGGAAGAGGAAGAGGAAGAGGAGGAAGAAGAAGAAGAAGAAGAAGAAGAAGAAGAAGGAGGAGGAGGAGGAGGAGGAGGAGGAGGAGGAGGAGGAGGAGGAAGAGGAAGAAGGGGAAGAAGAAGAAGAGAAAAAGAAGAAGAAGAAGAAGAGGAGGAAGAGGAAGAGGAGTTGCTGGATGGATATATGATGAAGTAATACAGTGACATGTCTGTGGTGATCAGTATATAAGTGTTCACTATAAAATTATTTCAACTCAGTCTGGGTGTGGTGGCTCACATCTGTAATCTCAGCATTTTGGAAGGCCGAGGAGGGAGGATCACTTGAGCCCAGGAGTTCAAGACCAGCCAGGCAACATAGCAAGACCCTATCTCTAATAAACTTCTCTATATATGTATGTATGTATGTATATATATACACACATATGTGTGTATATATATGTGTGTATTATATATGTGTGCATATGTACATATATATTATATATGTGTGTATATCTGAAATAATTATATATGTGTGTGTATATATACATTACACACACACACACACACACACACACATATATAATTATTTCAACTTGGCTGCGTGTTTGAAATGTTTCATAGTAAATGTTAGGGAATGTTCTCTGGCGGCAACAAACAGCCCCACCAGGTGCCACCATTTCTATCACCTTATTTCCCTTATAGTACTATCAGTCTCTTTATTTTTATTTTAAAAGGAAAAAAAGAGATGAGGTCCTGCTATGTTGCCCAGGTTGGTCTCGAACTCCTGGGCTCAAGCCATTCTCCTGCCTTGGCCTCCCAAAGTGTTGGGATTACAGGTGTGAACCACTGCGCCTGGCTCTTGTCACCCTCTTATTTTATTTGTTTACTTGTTTACTTATATATTGTTATTTATTGACTGTCTAGTCATTGAAATGTAAGCCTCCCAAGAGAAGTGGCATGGCTACCCACATCCTCCAGTGCCCAGAATAGTGATTGCCAGGAACTCAGTAAAGATGTGCTCTTTTAAAGATAGGGTCTCCCTCTGTCACCCAGGCTGGAGTGCAGTGGCATGATCATGGCTCACTGCAGCCCTGACCTCCCCAGGCTCAGGTGATCCTCCCACTTCAGCCTCCCAGCTACAGGCACGCACCCCCACACCCAGCTAATTTTTTCATTTTTGTAGAGGAGTGGTATCATTCTGTTGTCCAGGCTGATCGCACACGCCTGAGCTCTAAGATTTCCAGCCTCGGCCCCCCAAAATGTAGGGATTATAAGGCGTCAGCCACTGCACCCAGACAACAAGTGTTCTATTTATTTATTTATTTATTTATTTATTTATTTATTTTGAGACGGAGTTTTGCTCTTGTTGCCCAGGCTGGAGTGCAATGGCGCGATCTCGGCTCATTGCAACCTCTGCCTCCCCGGCTCAAGTGAATTCTCCTGCCTCAACCTCCCGAGTAGCTGGGATTACAGGCACGTACCACGACGCCCAGCTATTTTTTGTATTTTTAGTAGAGATGGGGTTTCACCATGTTGACCAGGCTGATCTCAAACTCCCGGCCTTAGGTGATCCTCTGGGATTACAGGCATGAGCCACCGTGCCTGGCCCAACATGTGTTCTTGAATCCGTCTTGGGAGAGGACTGGGGAGCTAGTCTGGCTCCAGACTCAGTTCAGGGACCACAGGAAGGAATAAATACGACCTCCTAGCCCAGGTTCCCTAGAATGGTATACCCAGCAGCTGGAGAATGTCCCATAAGGTAAGGGAATGTGCGAGTTGGCCTGAAAAACGGGCAACAGGTTGAAGTAGATATCTTAATTGTTTCCGTAGAGCCCTAATTCCCGCCCCAAACCTAACACAGACCCTCTACCAATACCATTATTCTGGCCCCGCTCCAAGCCTAGGCCCTACCCCCAGACTCTTAGGTCCTGCCCCAAAGCAAAAACTCCAGCCCTTTTAAAGCTAAGCAAGGCCCATTCCGGTCCGAGCCCTATCCCTCTGTCTTAGAGACCACTCCCAAGTATAAAATATTCAGAACTCCTCAGCCTAGCCCCGCCCCCTCAGTCCAAGCCACACCCCTCCACCTTGCTCCTCCCTGATAGCATCCTAGCTCTCCGCCTAAACTTGGTCCCTGATGCCTAAGCTAGGCCCGGCACTCTCAGCTCTGTCCTAAAGACCAGCCTCCGCCTCTCCAACATGAGCCCTGCTCACATTCAAGGTTAGGAAGTCCCCCAAGTCTAGGGCACCAACTCAAAAATTAGGGAGCTTGGATCTGTGGGTGTTTAGAGAATAGGTTGGTGGAACTAGAGGAGATGGTCCCCAGTTTGTACAGCCTCTCCAGGGAGTCTCCCCAAACCCGAAGACACGCCCCATTGTGCTAACTCCTCATTGGATGGTGCAGTCTGTTCTGGCCTCTCTGATTGGTCCTTCCACAATCCCTATCCATACTCCCTCTGCATCAGACTGCGCCTGTGAGCCACCCTTTCTAACCGACCCCTGCTTTCGCAGGCTTTGCTCCTGATCGGGCAAGCCCTTGCGCATGGCTTTTTCTGATTGGACCGTTTGTAATCACAAGCCTGGATGGAACAGAAGTTCCACTATGGAGGGTGGGAGTACCAAGGAGGAGAAGAAGGAGGAGAAGGAGGAGGAGGAGGAGGTGGTGGTTCCCTAAATCTCTTGCCTAAGAGAGGGTGTGGCCATTGACCCCAAGATAGCCTGGGGTTAGTGTTCTAACTGTACAGACCACAGGTGTCTTTGTCTTCTATGCCTCAGTTTTGTTTTGGTTTTTTTTTTTTTCATCTTTAAGTTGGGGAAAATAATAGTACCTTTTTCATGAGGTGTTGCAAGAATTAAATGAGCTAATGCCTATAAAATGTTTCTAGAAGTACCTGGTACATAGGAAGCCCTCAAGAGGAGGGTCAGCTATTAGCATTCATTTGATCATGTAAGTGCCTGACCTTGGATGAGTCCCTCTGCCTCTCTGACCTCTGCAGGCCAGGAGTTCCTTGTCCATTTAATTGAATGACCCTTCTTGTCTCCAGTCCTCCTCCTCCTCCTCCATCTCCTGCCTTCAGGGACTGGGCCTGTGATCAGAGGGAGGGACAAGAGAGATAGGGAAAAGGGCACTAGTGGAGAGCAGAGAAGCTCAACCCAACCCTGCAGAGAATTTAGGGCAGGGTGAATTTTCTCTATGGACCAGTGTAGAGTGATTGTATCCCGAATCCCTCATGCAAAGGACTTACCCTGATTGGGGGTGAGTGGGCATGAGGTAGGGTAGAGTGGGGTGGTAAGGGGATGGTGTTTTAAAGCTGGGAGGGCTTGGAGCTGGGCTTTTTGGACCCTACCCCCGGGAACGCCATGGGTGGGGGACGGGCGGCCCAGGCCCAAGGTCACTATGTCTTTGTTACCATGACAACAGCCACCTCTCTACCGGGAACCTGAAAAGGGGTGGGAGGAGGGAGTTCCCACGTCCCTGAAACCGGGGACAGAGAGGGGAACAATTAGAAACATGGAAGAGAAGCAGAGGGACAGAAGGGGTGTGATTCGTCTCTGTGAAGACCTGCCCATCTCGGAATTCTCAGAGCCTGCTCTACCGTGGGTGCTTAATCAATGTCCCTCAGAGACAGACACAGAAAACCTGAGAAAGTTCGATGTCCACAGATGCCAGAAGAAAGAAAAGAAGAATCTTCACAAGGGGGCAGGTGTCCCTTCCCTGTCTCCTCAATCTCACACCCCTGGGGGTCCACTGAGGGCCCAGGATTGACTTCATTTTCCCCAGCCCTGGGTCCTCAGGCCTACCTGACCGTACAAACCATCCACCTGCCAGCAGCTCCTGAGATCCTGAAGCAATTACGTTCAAACCTCTTCGGCCTTTAAATTCTTCCTACCTAAGGGCTCAGCTGAGAAAAGTCGCATTCAGTGATGCCTCCTATCCCCAAGAGGTCGGGAGTCGGGGACGGGGGAGGGAAACGGGCACTTTGCCTCCTTTATTCTCAGGGGTCCTTGTTCCCTTTGGAAGTGACCTCTCCGTAGATCCTGATATTCCCCCAATACCTCCAGGAGACCCAGGCCTCGCCCATCCGTCCCCCACCCCCCAAGGAAATCCTTCAGGTCCTTCCCTTTCTTTCTAAGAAACAGGTATCCTCCTTCCCTTCCGGGACCCAGCTCGCATTCCACTAGGTCAGCCCGCCCCCTGCTGGCCCAAGCCTGGTACTGCAGGAACCGTCGGCTAGAGCCCAGATGAAAGGCAGATACTGAATCCGAAGTGAGGATCTCTGAGTTTTTGCATTTTTAAATTTATTTAAAGTCTTGGTTGTTCAGGTCCTAGGGGTCCAAGTCCCCAATCACCTTGAGGACTCAGACATCAGGAATTCAGGCCCCAGCCCAGAAATCAACGAAAGAAAGACAACTTCTCTTGGAGCCAGGCCTCGGTGAGGTCATCGGTGGTGCGGATTTCAAACACCTGGGCAGAGAGAGGTCTCGGCATTATGATCTACTCAAGAACTGAGGCAGTGGCCGGGCGCGGTGGCTTACGCCTGTAAGAGAGCACTTTGGGAGGCTGAGGTGGGTGGATCACTTAAGGTCAGGAGTTCGAGACCAGGCTGGCCAATATGGTGAAACCCTGACTCTACTAAAAATACAAAAATCAGCTGGGCGTGGTGGTGGGTGCCTATAGTCCTAGCTACTTGGGAGGCTGAGGCAGGAGAATCGCTTGAACCCGGGAGGAGGAGGCTGCAGTGAGCTGAGGTTGTACCACTGCACTCCAGCCTGGGTGACAGAGCCAGACCCAGTTCTTTAAAAAAAAAAAAAAAAAAACGGAGACAGTGAGGACTCTAGTCCCTCTTCTCTCAGACCCAGGACCCACACCACCTCTCCCTAACACTCTGGAGCCCCGCCCCAGCCTGAACCTTTGTGAGCTCTGCTGTCTGCACCAGCCTGTTCTTACTCCCTGCATACATCATCTGTTGTTCCGGCTTGCAGCCTGCGTGAAAAAGAGGAGAAAGGCACATCAGTGGGGACCCAGGCATGTTCTCTTGTAATGTCCTGAAGGCCCTGCAGTTTTCCAAGAGTCCTAGGAGCTCTTCTAAGGAGGTCCCCCGACTGTAGTCAGTTTCTAGGTTGGCTTTGGGGGCTTCAAGTTATTCTGAGGGTCTCTGGAGATGATTTAGGGGCCAGACGGGGCTTTGTAGGTAAAAGGAAAAGGTGGGTTGGCTTAGGCCCCAGGACTGAGAACGGGTGGGCTCTTGGTGAATCTGAGCCCCCACCTCCACTTCACTGCCCTCCCACATCACGCATGTGACACACACACATCCTTACCCGGTCACACACAGGCTGTCACATGCTCACACACTAACACAGGTGCCTGCACACACTCGCACAGCCACACACACCCACATGTACACACCTGCACTCACGCATTTATACACACAAACACACACACACACACACACAGAATCGAAGGCCCTCTCCTGAGAGTAGAGTTGTGTCTCACCCACAGGACTGGAGAAGATGAAACACAAAGGGTAGGACACTCGGCCATCGTCATGCACGTACTTGTAGCTGTAAACCACGAACCTACCATGAAAGGGAATTGAAAATCAGGACTCTGGCCTGCAGCCCAGGCTCAACAGCCATTACCTGAGTCCACAGCCTTGAAATGTTGGCTGAGTCTGAGAACCAGGGTTGATGTCTGGGACTCAGGGTACTGACCTCAAACACAACAAATGATTTAAAAATAATCATAGGGCCGGGCGCAGGGCTCACGCCTATAATCCCAGCACTTTGGGAGGCCGAGGCAGGTGGATCACCTGAGGTCAGGAGTTCGAGACCAGCCTGGCCAACATGTTGAAACCCCGTCTCTACTAAAAATTAGCTGGGAGCGGTGGTGTGCGCCTGTAATCCCAGCTAGTCAGGAGGCTGAGGCAGGAGAATCATTTGAACTCAGGAAGCAGAGGTTGTAGTGAGCCGAGATCACACCACTGCACTCCAGCGTGGGTGACAACAGCGGAACTACGTCTCAAATAATAATAATAATAATCATAGTGCTTATTTGACTCACAATAACTTTATAATATAGGTGCTATTAATATCTCCATCATACAGATGGAAAAACTGAGGCCCAAACTCACTTGCCCAGGGTTCTATGGATAGGGGAGAGATTTGAACCTGGGAAAGTGAATGCCAGCATGTAAGTGCTCACCCCCTATTCAATACTGTCCGGTGCACTCGAACCCCAGTGCACTGTGACCAGGGATGGCTACAGAATCGGCCAAGCCTGGTGTAAAATGAAAATGTGGGGCTTCTTGCTCAAGAAGCAGGAAAATTGTTTTCCTTTCTTTTGTAGTCCCTCCCTAGACTGACCTGGTCTTTTTTTACTATTATTAGAGACAGGGCCTCACTCTGTCCCAGGCTGGAGTGCAGTGGTGAAATCCTAGCTCACTGCAGTCTTGAACTCCTGGGCTCAAGTGATCCTCCTGTCTCAGCCTCCAGAGTAGTTGGGACTATAGGTGCACACCACCATGCCCAGCTAATTTTTTGTTTTGAGACAGGGTCTCACTTTGTCACCCAGGATGGAGTACAGTGACGTGGTCTCAGCTCACTGCAGCCTCAACCTCCCAGCTTCAAGCGATCCTCCTGCCTCATCCTCCCAAGTAGCTGGGACTACAGGCATGTGCCACCATGTCCAGCTAATGTTTTTTTGTATTTTCTGCAGAGACAGAGTTTCACCATGTTGCCCAGGCTGGTCTCAAACTCCTGAGCTCAAGTGATCTGCCCACCTCAGTCTCCCAAAGTGCTAGGATTACAGGCATGAGCTACTGTGCCTGGCCTTTTATTTAAAAAATTTTAGTAGAAATGGGGGTCTTGTTATGTTGCCCAGGCTGGTCTCGAACTCCTGGCCACAAGCAGTACTCCCACCTCAGACTCCCAAAGTGCTGAGATTACAGGGGCGAGCCACTGCGCTCAGCCGGTCTTTTTAAATTTGCTATTTAAAGTCTTGCTCCCTCAGGCATGAGGATATGCGCAGGCAGAGCACAGATGCTCACAGGAACACCCTGTAACTTGTCAGGCAAGGGGTGCCTACTGGACCCCGACCCTCCCCACACCAGCAGGAAGCCCAAGGACAGCAGTGGTCACTGGGTGGGTGCAGAGAGTGGGTGGCTGAGAACCTGTTTGGGGAGGCGGCCCGGTGGTGGACTGCCTGTGAACCTAGCTCCAAACCCCAGCACATTTGTGTGAAGTCCATTGTCCCATCTGACTTCATACAAAACAGAAATTCAAAGATAAAACTATAAAGAAGGTGACCATTAACCCCCATGTGTGAGGCCCCCTCCTGGGTGTGGGGCCCTGTGCAATTATCATATGCCCATGAAGCTGATCCTGGTTGAGTCCTACAGCCTGGGATTGAGGATCAAAATCCTAGAGACCCAAAATGAATTCAGTCAAGATGAAAAATCGTAACAGACCAGTTTTCATAGAAATAGTCAAAGAGCTCTTCCACCAAAAAAAAGCACCAGGCTCATGTGACTTCACCCAGGATTCTACTTAATCATTAAAAGTCAAGTCATTCCTTTAGCAGGGTGCAGTGGTGGTGCCTGCAGTCCCAGTTGCTTGGGAGGCTGAGGCAGGAGGATGACTTGAGCCCAGGAGTTGGAGGCTACAGTGAGCTAGGATCACAGCACTGCCCAATAGTCTGGGTGACACAGCGAGATCCTGTCTCTAAAAATTTTTTTAATAAAATAATAATGATAACAATAATTCATTTGCTACCTAAAGTGTTCCCAAACATTGAAAAAGAAGGAAAATTTCTTTTTTTTGTTTTTTTGAGACAGGGTCTTGCTCTGTCACCCAGGCTGGAGTGCAGGAGTGCTATCTTGGCTCACTTGCAGCCTCAACTTCCTGAACTCAAGTGATCCTCACCTTCAGCCTCCCAAGTAGCCGGAACCACAGGCACACGCCACCATGCCTGGCTAATGTTTTTCTTTTTTTTTTTTTTTTTAAATAAAGACAAGGTCCTCCACCAGGTGTGGTGACTCATGCCTGTAATCCCAGCACTTTGGGAGGCCGAGGCAGGTGGATCACCTGAGGTTAGAAGTTCAACGACCAGCCTGGCCAACATGGTGAAACCCCATCTCTACTAAAAATACAAAAATTAGCCGGGCACGGTGTTGGGCACCTGTAATCCCAGCTACTCAGGAGGCTGAGGCCAGAGAATCGCTTGAACCTGGGAGGCAGAGTTTGCAGTGAGCCGAGATCGCGCCACTGCACTCCAGCCTGGGCAACAGAGCGAGACTCCGTCTCTAACCAAAAAAAAAAAAAATAGAGACAAAGTCTTGCTATGTTGCCCAGGCTAGTCTCGAACTCCTGACCTCAGGTGATCCTCCCACTCACTTCGGGCTCCCAAAGTGCTGGGATTACAGGTGGGAGCCACAGTGCCTGGCCAAAATTTCATTTTTTAAAAATCATGTCAGTGTAATATTGAAATAAAAACCCAAAAAAGTTTGTACCAAAAAAAAAAAAAAAAAAAAGCAGACTCTAAACCAGTGTAAAATTCTGCAATAAAATATTGCTATACAAACAAAAAGCTCTAGAGTATGAACTCTTGGCCTCAAACACAGAGATTCTTTTTTTTTTTTTTTTTTTTTGAGATGGAATCTTGCTGTGTCACCTAGGCTGGAGTGCAGTAGTGTGATCTCAGCTCACTGCAGCCTCTGCCTCCCAGGTTCAAGTGATTCTCGTGCCACAGCCTCCTGAGTAGCTGGGATTACAGTCGCATGCCACCATACCCAGCTAATTTTTATATTTTTAGTAGAGATGGGGTTTCACATGTTGGCCAGGCTGGTCTTGAACTCCTGACCTCAAGTGATCTGCCCTCCTCAATCTCCCAAAGTGCTGGGATTACAGGGATGAGCTACCTTGCCCGGCCAAACAGAGATTCTAAGTCCATGAATAGGGCTGGAATTCAAGAAGTCCTTAGCCTGTACTTCCAACATCACCCCTCCCCTCGTGGCCTGATCCAACCCTTTCTTCCCCCAGGATACCTGGGCTGTCTCTCAGGCAATTCCATTTTGAGTTCCTCTGGGGAAATGTTCTGAGGCAAGAAAACAGAAGAAAAGACAAAGAATGAGGCTAGGTGCAGTCGCTCACGCCTGTAAATCCCAGCACTTTGGGAGGCCGAGGCAGGTAGATTACCTGAGGCCAAGAGTTAGAGATCAGACTGGCCAACATGATGAAACCCCATCTCTACTAAAAATACAAAATTAGCCAGGCGTGGCTGGGCGAGGTGGCTCATGCCTGTAATCCCAGCACTTTGGGAGGCCGAGGCGGGTGGATCACAAGGTCAGGAAATCATTGAGACCATCCTGCCTAAAAGAGTGAAACCCCGTCTCCACTAAAAATAGAGAAAATTAGCCAGGTGTGGTGGCATGCACCTGTAGTCCCAGCTACTCGGGAAGCTGAGGCAGGAGAATTGCTTCAATTCAGGATGCAGAGGTTGCAATGAGCTGAGATCGTGCCACTGTACTCCAGCCTGGGAGACAGAGTGAGACTCCATCTCAAAAAAAAAAAAAAAAATTAGCCAGGCATGGTGGCGTGCACCTGTAATCCCAGCTACCTGGGAGGCTGAGGCAGAAGAATTGCATGAACCCAGGAGGCGGAGGTTGCAGTGAGTCAAGATTGTGCCATTGCACTCTAGCCTGGGCAAAAAAGATCGAAACTCCATGTCAAAAGAAAAAAAAAATGACTGCCTTTAGGTGAGCACTTACCATGTGCCAAGGCACTGTTCTACGAAACACACATGGATTAATTCATGGAACTATCCCATAAGTCTGTGGGGTAGGTCCTATCATTATGCCCATTATACAGCTGAGAAAACTGAGGCCCAGAGGTGTTAAGCCATTTGCCCAAGATTGCACAGATAGAAAGTAGCAGAGTTGAGATTTGAATCTGTGTTCAAATCATAACTGCTTCACTATACTGCTTTTCAGAGGGCCTGAGAGAGCCCCAGCCCTCAGTCTCCATGGATTCCCTTATAAATCCTCATCACAACTCTAGGGAAATAAGCCTTATTATCGTTCTTGTTATTGATAAAGACAGTGAGGCCGCCAGAGAGTGAAGTCTACCTCTTTTTTGTTTGTTGTTGTTGTTGTTATTGTTGTTTGTAGAGATGGGGTCTTGCTTTGTTGCCCAGGTTGGTCTCAAACTCCCGGCCTCGAGCAACCCTCCCACCTCAGCCTCCTAAATAACTGGGATCACAGGTGCACACCACTGTGCTTGGCTAATTTTTGTATTTTTAGTAGAGTCAGGGTGTTACCATGTTGCCCAGGCTGGTCTCAAACTCCTGGGCTCAAGTGATCCTCTTGCCTCAGCCTCCCAAAGTGCTGGCATTACAGGCATGAGCCACCACGCCCAGCTAGCTTTTTAACTTCTGTGGAAACTCTTTCATTTGAATGCCAATAAAGCATTATTATCATCATTATTAAGATCATCATCACCTTATAGAGCATATAGTAAGTGCCAGGCCTTGTTCTAAACCCATTACAAGAATTAAATCACTGGATGTAAAAACAAGCCTATGAGGTAAGTACTATTCTCCCCATTTCACAGATGAGAAAATAGAGACACATACAGGCAAACTCTCTTGCTGGGGGTCATGAGTGAGCTAGAACTTGATCTCTAGGTTTGGTTTTGTTTTTGTTTTTGCTTTCTGAGACAGAGTCTTGCTCTGTAGCTCAGACTGAAGTGTAGTGGCACGATCTTGGCTTACTACAGCCTCCACTTCCTGGGTTCCAGCGATTCTCCTGCCTCGGCCTCCCAAGTAGCTATGATTACAGGTGCATGCCACAACGCCCAGCAAACTTTTTATATTTTTAGTACAGATGGGGTTTCACCGTGTTGGCCAGGCCGGTCTTGAACTCCTGACCTCAAGTGATTTGCCCGCCTCGGCCTCCCAAAGTGCTGGGATTACAGGATTACATGCTCAACCGATCTCCAGGTCTTTCTACCCCCATGCCAGGCTCTTCATATCAGTTCCAACCACTTGGGTCTCCCAGTCCCAGCCCGTACCTCCTAGTTCCAACCACCCCAGCCCCTCACCTGAAATTCTTCCTCCAGTACCACCATCTGCCGGTCTTTGTCCACCTTCACTGGGGAGGTGTGGCACACAGGGATTAGACACTCCCCCGACCCACAGGGTACACAAGCCCAGCCCTCCTTATGTGCCCCCACCAGCGCCCTCCCATCCTTCCATGAGGGAAGATGCCACTCACTTATGATGGCTGCATTGTCTGTCTCTTTCCGGAAGCGGAATTTCCTCAGCTTTTCTGTTAGCTCTGGGTCTACCTCGCACACCACCAGGGAGTCAGACTGCCAGAAGGACCCAGGAAGAGCTGAGATGGTCTGGCCTCAGCCCTCACCCCTTCCCCAAACCTCAGTTTCTCCATCCGCTCATGAAGAGGAGCATTGCACCGGCCCATCTGATGCCTTTGTGAACACTGAGAAAAGGCACCCTTCCCGCAGGGCAGGTACCCCTCACCAGGTCGCTCAGCTTGGGGCGCGGAGCAGGGGCTGGATTCCTGCCTTCTCCATGGGGACCCTCGGGGGACACTCAAGGAGATGCAGAGATCCACTTCCTGGGCCTAAACCCAGAGCCGCTGTCTCTCTGTCCTCCCAGCCAGGCTGTTCGCCACAGTGGTGTCCCCTTCCCGGCCCGTGACCTCCATCCCATAGCCTGACCTTCGCCCAGGTGTCCTCCAACCCCAGCCCCAGCTCTTCCCATAGGACCCCTGTCCCCTGACCATGGTTGTTCTGTCCACAGGCCTCTTCTTTTCTCAGTTCCGCTGTCTTCTAGGGGTGGGGACTGGGGTTGCAGAGGGGGCAGGCTATGCAGTAGGAGGAAGGTTTCATGCAACACCACATCCTGTTTATGCCCTTTCTGGGACAACTGTCACAGAGGGCTCCTCCCCCTCCTTCCTTCCCCTCATCTGCTAGGACCTGTCAGGAAATTGCTCAGACCAGGGTTCAAAAGCTTCCTTGCTGTGTGACCCTAGCTAAGTAACTTCACCCCTCTGATTTGAGATTGTGGTGAGGATAGAAATAGCTTCACATGGGCCGGGCACGGTGGCTGACACCTGTAATGCCAGCACTTTGGGAGGCCAAGGCGGGCGGATCACCTGAGGTCAGGAGCTGGAGACCAGCCTGGCCAACATGGCAAAACCCTGTCTCTACTAAAAATACAAAATATTAGCCAGACTTGGTGGTGCATGCCTGTAATCCCAGCTACTCAGGAGGCTGAGGCACAAGAATCGCTTGAATCCAAGCAGCAGAGGTTGCAGTGAGTCAAGATCACGTCATTGCACTCTAGCCTGGGCAACAGAGTGAGACTCTGTCTCAATAAATATAAATAAAAATAAATAAATAGCTTCACATAGCTGTCAGCATGGCAGATACAATAGATACTAAAAACGGGCTGGGCACAGTGGCTCACACCTGTAATCCCAGCACTTTGGGAGGCCAACGTGGGCAGATCATGAGGTCAGGAGATCGAGACCATCCTGGCTAACATGGTGAAACCCCATCTCTACTAAAAATACAAAAAAAATTAGCCGGGCGTGGTGGCGGGTGCTTGTAGTCCCAGCTACTAGGGAGGATGAGGCAGGAGAATGGCGTGAACCCAGGAGGCGGAGCTTGCAGTGAGCTGAGATCATGCCACTGCACTCCAGCCTGGGTGACAGAGCACAACACCATCTCAAAAAATATATATATACACACACTAAAACGAACTATTTTGCTCCTCCCCTCCTTCAGGCAGCCTTCCTGGATTGACCCCCATCTGGGATATTTGAATTGCAGGGCTGGAAAAGGGGAGTTCAGTCTTTTGCTGGTCAGACTGATGCCCATTATGTCAATGGCAAAATGGGGACCAGAGGGGCAACCCCACACTGCCTGGGTAATGGTGACTTTTTCCTGCACTTTTTCAATCTCACTAGCCTTGCAATGACCTATGAGGCCCTGCAACAAGGGAGCTCAATCCTGTCAGACCAGTACCCACTTTTTTTTTTTTTTTTTGAGACAGGGTCTCACTCTGTCACCCAGGAGGGAGTGCAGTGGTGCGATCTCAGTTCACTGCAACCTCCGCCTCCTGGGTTCAGCCTCCCAAAGTGCTGGGACTCCAGTTGTGAGCCACCGTGAGCCACCGTGCCCGGCCATTTTTTTTTATTGAGTATTTTTGCACTGCCCCCTTTTCCCATCCCGAAATAAAATTCCTAGATAATATAACCTACTTACACACATAAATTCAAAAAAATCAATATAATGTCCTGACTGTCATATAAAGAAGAAATAAAAGGAAAGTAGTTCACACGAAAACCATATGTATTTCAGTGAGAAAATAAAAGCAAACAAAAGAGAATTTTCACAGGTTCCTAGGCCCACTGTGACTGGCCCACTTCCCTCCAGTGGGCAAACCCCGGACCCTGCACTGGACTCTACCCCTTTACCTACATCTCTGCAGCTATCCTCCCTTTCTCTCTTGTCTCACCAATATCCCCATGCCTCCTGGATCTTTCTGCTTAGTCTCCATGTAGTGTTACTTCTTCCATCTTAATTTTTTTTTCTTTTCTTTTTTTCTTTTGAGACAGGGTCTCATTCTGTCACCCAGGCTGGAGTGCAGTGGTGCAATCATAGCTCACTGTAACCTCCAACTTCTCGGCTCAAGCCACCTTCCCACCTTGGCCTCCCAGGTAGCTGGGACTATAGGCACGCAGCACCATGCCTAGCCAATTTTATTTTTTATTTTTATAGAGACAGGATCTCACTATGTGGCCCGCGCTGGCCTCAAACTCCTGGCCTCAAGCGATCCTCCTGCCTCAGCCTCTCAATGTGCAGGGATTACAGGCATGAGCCACCGAGTCTGGCCTCTTCCACTTTTAAAAACATAAAACCTTATCTCCTGTCCAGCTGCTGCTCACTCATTTCCTTCCCTTTTCCGCAAGATTTCTCAAAAGAATCATCTACATTGCTGCCTCCAATTTCTCCTCCCAGTTTCCTCTTCTGCCTTCTCCAACCAGCCTTTCCCCCATACTCCTCTCGGCTGACATGCCCTTGTCAAGGTCACCCACGCACTCCACGGTGCTGGATCTAATGGTCACACCTCAGTCCTCTTTAGCCACATCTGACACAGCCCATCACTCCCTGTTCCCTGAAACATCATCTTCACGACACCACACTGGTTCTCTTTTCTTTTCTTTTTTTTTTTTTTTTTTTTTGAGACAGAGGTCTCACTCTGTCACCCAGGCTGGAGTACAGTGGCACCATTTCAGCTCACTGCAACCTCCACCTCCCGGGTTCAAGCGATTCTCTCACCTCAGCCTCCCAAGTAGCTGGGATTATAGGCATGAGCCACTGCAGCCCGCTATTTTTTTTTTTTTTTTTTTCTTGAGATAGAGTCTCTCTCTGTCGCCCAGGCTGGAGTGCAGTGGCACACTCTTGGCTCACTGCAACCTCTGCCTCCCAGGTTCAAGCAGTTCTCCTGCCTCAGCCTCATGAGTAGCTGGGATTACAGGTGCATGCCACCACAACCAGCTAATTTTTGTATTTCTAGTAGAGATGGCGTTTCACCATGTTGGTCAGGCTAGTCTTGAACTCCTGACCTCGTGATCTGCCTGCCTCAGCTTCCCAAAGTGCTGGGATTACAGGCATGAGCTATGGCGCCTAGCCATATTTTTGTATTTTTAGTAGAGACAGGGTTTTACCATGTTGGCCAGGCTGGTCTCGAACCCTCCCATGAGTCAGACACAGTGGCTCATGCCTGTAATCCCAGTACTTTGGGAGGCCAAGGCAAGAGAATTACTTGAGACCAGGAGTTCAAAACCAGCCTGGGCAACATAGCAAGACCCTGTCTCTACAAAAAAATTTTAAAAGTAGCCGGGCATGGTGGCATGTGTCTGTAATCCCAAGTACCAGCTACTTGCGAGGCTAAGGTTGGGAAGATCACTTGAGTCCAGGAGTTTGAGGCTTCAGTGAGCTAGATTGCACCACTGCACTCCAGCCCAGATGACAGAGTGAGATCCTGTCTCTAAAAAACAAACACCAGGCCAGGCGTGTTGGCTCATGCCTGTAATCTCAACACTTTGGGAGGCTGAGGTGGGCAGATCACTTGAGTCCAGGAGTTCGAGACCAGCCTGGGCAACATGGTGAAACCCCCTTACTACTAAAAATACAAAACCTAGCCAGGGGTGATGGCATATGGCTGTAGTTCCAGCTACTCCAGAGGCTGAGGCAGGAGAATCGCTTGAACACAGGAGGCAGGGGTTGCAGTGAGCCGAGGTTGTAGTTAGCCATGATCGCACCACTACAGTCCAGCCTGGGCAACAGAGTGAGACCCTGACACACACACACACACACACACACACCCCAACAATGACAAAAATACTAAGTTACCTGTCACCACCCCAACCCCATTGCCTCTTGGACCTTGCCCTTCATTGGCCCTCCTTTTTGCTCACTCCACTCCAGCAATGCTGGCCTCTTTGTGGTTCTGTGAATGATCCTACCACACGGCCTTTGCACTTGCTGTTTTCTCTTTCTGGAATCCCCTCTTTCTCCTTCATTCCTTCAGATTTCTGTTTCAGTCTCACCTAATGAAAGAGGTCTTTCCCCAAGTAAATTAACTCTGGCTGCATCACTCCATTCTCTTGGCCGCTTTCTTGTTGTTTATTTATTTGTTTATTTAGAGACATAGTCTGTCACCTGGGCTACGGTGCAATGGCAAATCTCAGCTTATTGCAACCTCCGCCTCCTGGGTTCAAGTGATTCTCCTGCCTCACCCTCCTGAGTAGCTGGGACTACAGCCACATGCCACTATGCCCAGTTAATTTTTGGCATTTTTAGTAGAGACAGGGTTTTGCCACTTTGGCCAGGCTGGTCTCAAAGTCCTGGCCTCAAGTGATCCACCGGCCTCAGCCTCCCAAAGTGCTGGGATTACAGGCGAGAGTCACCATGCCCAGCCACTGCTTTCTTTTTCTCCTTGGAAAGTAACACAAAGTAACACTGTATTTCCTTATTGTTTGTGTCCCCAGGAACTAGAATATAAGTTTTTTTTTTGGTTTTTTTTTTTTTGGTTTTTTTTTTGAGATGGAGTTTCACTGTTGTTGCCCAGGTTGGAGTGCAATGGCATGATCTTGGCTCACTTAAACCTCCGCCACTCAGGGTTCAAGCAATTCTCCTGCCTCAGCCTCCCAAGTAGCTGGGACTACAGGCATGCGCCACCACGCTCCGCTAATTTTGTATTTTTAGTAGAGACGAGGTTTCACGTCATGTTGGTCAGGCTGGTCTCGAACTCATGACCTCAAGTGATCCACCTTCCTTGGCCTCCCATAATGCTGGGATTACAGGTATGAGTCACCGCACTCATCTTACTGTTGTATTTTTAGCACCTTAAGCAGAGCCTGGCACATATTGGACACTCAAGAAATATTATTGAATGAATTAATGAACCAGCAGTTATCGAGCACAATCATTTTATACAGTGTGAAGGCTGTTGCTTAAATGCAGGAGGTAGTGGATGGGGTTTGTGACATGGCCCCACCCTGGTGAAATGGCCTTTCCTCAAAGTGTCTATAATGCCACACTGTCCTGGTCTTCCTCTCTCTGGCTGCCCTTTTCAATATTCATCGACAGTGTCAATTCCTTTGCTCAAATCCTGCCTCTCCGTTTCAGAGTTCTGTTCATTCCCTGTCTCCAGTGATCCTTCACACCCTCCCCGCACTAGACCCCTAACTCCCACAGCCTCAATTACCATCTTTGACGATCCTTAAATCTTGGTCTCCAGCCTCAATTTCTCTCTTAAGCTCCAGACCCGGGGTTTGTGTACCTCCTGGACCTCGCTGCTAGGCATCCACATTGGGCTTACTATCTTCCCAACCTGCTTCTCCTCTGGGGCCCAATCTCCCGGCCAGAGGGCTTGGTTCTAAACTTTTCTCCCCCTTCCACTCCATGGCCAGCCAGTTTCAGGGCCCGTTTGCTCTGCCTCCAGGGCGTCCCTCCCACCTGCACCTCCTTCCCTCCCCACAGTCCCTCCCTTGTGCAAACCCCCCTCTTTCTTCCCCAACTCCTACCCCAGCTGTCCCCTGGACTCCCGACCCCGTTTCATTCCCTCCAATCCGCCCTCCATGTATAAGCCAGAGAGACATCTCTCCAAAACCCCCGACTCACCATGATCCTCCCCGACTTGAAGCCCTTCAGGGCTCCCTAGTGCCCTCGGGACAAGTCCAAACTCTCTCAAGTGGCCAAACAACTGGCCTCTGCTCGTTCCTCACCCCTCCCTGTCTTCAACTCGACCCTCGACCCCGACTGGCTCTCTGAGTGCCTGTAACAAGCCAGATCTCTGTCACCGAGAGCCTTCTGAACACAGATCCCTCTGATTAGTTCACCCAGACCCAAGACAGTTTGTGGAACGTCCAGATCACAACCAAAGTCATAGCAACAATTCCCGTTTATTGACGGCCTCCTTGATCCCGAGCGCTTTCCGTGCATTCTCTTCCCACCCTAACGGCTAGATCTCGCCTCGTCATTCCCATCGGAGAGAGCAAGCGGCAGGCTCAGAACAGCGCGATGAGAAAGCCGAGCCCCCCAAAGCCCGAGTGCAGACGCCTACCGGGGACAGCGTTGGGTGGGGCGGGCCACCCAAGGGGCGGGGAAGAGGAGGCCTGGAACGCCTGAATCGGGAACTGTGACTTCGCTCTGGGCAGCTGGGGTGGACGCGCGGGAGCCTGCCCCCTGCGGGCCTGGAGGCCCAATCCCAGGCTCCGCCGGGCCCGTTACCCTAGGCAACGCCGCGCGCGCCCCGCCCCTTCCCCGCCCCCCAGCCCCAAACCCCAGGCCTGACCGACTGCCCGTCACCCCCACGTCCGACCAATCCCGCCGAGGAGGGGGCGGGCCTCTTGGGTCCCGTTCCACCACCGTCGCTCCTCTCCTCGCCGGGACCCCGCCTTACTCGGCTCACACCTCCCGCCCTTCGGGCTGCCCTCGCCGCCCGTTGGCTGGCGCGCCGTTCGTCACCCGGGCGTGAGCTAATGCCGGCGCGCGGCGGCCCCCGTCGGGGCGGGGCCAGGGGCGGTGACGCACGGCGCGGTGACGCAGCGCGACGGCGGCGGCGGCGGCGGCGGCGGCGGCGGCGGCGGTGGTCGGTGCGGGAGGAGGGAGGGGAGCTTGCGGGCCCGAGAGGGGGCGACGGCGGCGGCGGTGGCCTGAGGAGGCCCGAGCAGCGGCGGTGGTGGCGAAGGCCGAGGCGGTGAGTCTCGGGCCGGGCCGGCGCGGGGCGGCGGCGGGTCAGGGCGCGCGGGGCTCCCCTCAGGGCGACCCAGGCCGCGCGGGCGGCCCCGCCCCCTCAGGGACCCCGAACCGCGGGCGGCGGCGGCGGGCGGGTGCGGAGCGCGGGCTTCGGGGGTCGGGCCCACGGGAGAAGCCCCGCGCCCGTCCCCAGTCTCCCTCCTGGGCCCTGGCAGAAGCTTCTCTCCGAAATCCTCCCCATGCCCTCGGGATTGCCGAAGGGCCGGGTCGGGGGCCCCTCCTCAGGACCCCACGCACATCCTCCTCGGAGAGCCCCGGAAACCCTCCGAGCCCCCGTGTGCGCCCCAAAAGGTCCCTGCAGAACCCACCCCTCCCGTGGAGCCGCCTCCCCGAGCCCTTCGTGAGTCTCGGCAGCCTTCCTTGCAGACCCCCACTCTTTGGCCCGGAAGCCCCCGTCGTCCTCCTGTCTCCACAAATAGTCCTCGGAGGCCATTCCTCGTCCATTCCACAGCGTGGCTCTCATAGCTGCTCCAGGAGCCTTCCTCACGAGCTCTGCACACCTCCCCAAGGCTCCCTCTGGACCCCTGTCCGTTCCAGAACTCTCCCCTAGAGCCCTGCCTCTCACAGCCCAACAGGCTCACCCGACTTCCCCCTCCCAGATCCTAAGAATTTTCCCTCCCACTTACCCCATTCCAGAAACCTCCTTGGAGATTTTCCGCTCATACCCCCTGCATTTCTGAGTCCCCCTCCCAGAAGTCCTTCAGAATTCCCCCCGAAGGACCCTGATCATCTTCCCTGAAGATCTCCTTCCCATATCCCCAAAATAAATCTTCCTCACAGACTTTCTGAAATGCCCCCAGATCCCAAAAACTCACCTGGAAGACCCTATCCCACTCCCCACCATATTGCAACCTTCTCTAATACACACTCCCCCTTCACGTATCCCTCTGGATCTTTCCACAGATCCCAAAAGTCTCCCCCAGAGGCCTGCTGTCTCCCCCTGGTCTCACCACCCTGAAATGCCTTAGAGATCACCCTCAGGTAGCCCAACGATCTTCCCCGGGACACCCTTCCCCACCCCCACTCATTCTTAAAGTCTCCAGCGATTGCCTGAAATCTCCAGGGGACTCTCAATTTCATATTTCAAAAGCTTCTTCCAAAACCCCTTTTACATACTCCACATATTTTCCAGTCCCCCACATCACACGCTCCAAAAATGGTTTAAGGATCCTGAAAACTTTCCTCATGATTTCTCTCTCAGATCCCCTAGAACTCCCCTTCACTTACACTTCAGAATCCCCCCTTGCAGACCGGTTTTAGAGGAATTTTCTAAAGATCCTCCTCACAACCCCTGTAAGACCGTAAGATTTTCTTGGTGACCCCTCTGAGATGCAGGTTTTCAGGACCCCCCCCCAACACACACACAGCTTAGAGACCCCAGCAAACCCCTGGAACCCTCCTGATGTTGTTCTTGAAATCCCTCCAAGACCTTCCTGACACCCCCAGAACCCCTTGAATCAATACTTCTGCCTTGCTAAGGGACTTTTCTGGAGATGTCACTCCCTGAACTTGCTCACGCAGGTCCCCTAAATCCTCTAGAATCCCCTGAAGAAGACCCTCACACACACCTAATTTCCCCCCAAAATAACCCTCTGAGCTCCTGCTCTGAGAAAGTCCTAGAATTCTTTCTGAAAAACCCACTCCTCTGACACTCAGAAGACCCCGCCTTCCCCATGTACTCTTTTGGAGACTTTACTCAGGTTTCTCCTCAACTGAGATCTCTGAAGAGTTTTTCCTAAAAAGATCACTCTGTCATCCCACTCCAGGACCAGTCTCAGAAGACCACACCTTCCTCAGACACTCTTTAGATAATTTTCTCACCAATTGCCCTCCATCAACCACCCACTCCTAGCGCTTCCTGAGACTTCCTCAGAACTTTCCCTCAGATTCCACTTCTGACATCCCCAAGAAACGTTATTCAGTACCCTATCAAATTTACCCCCTCGCTTTAGAATTCCTATTTACACCATCTCATTTCTCCATTCTCTTTCCTCTGAAGTAAACTCAGAGACCTTTCTCAGGGGGCCCCCTTTTCCTATTATCCCTTCAGAGGCCCCCAACATTCTCCAGACTCGTCCCTCAAGAGCCTCTATGTTTCCTTGTAAAGATTCTTGAGAGACACCTTTCCCCACCCCCTTGAAATCCCAATGCTCCAAGACCTTTCTTTCAGACCATTTTTCTCAGGTCCCATCCTCATAGACCCCTCTTCCCTTCCAAGATCAAGAGACACTTAACACCCTCCTTAGAGACAGGATTTTCCCCATTTCCCTTTGAGAAGCCTTCTTCTCCCCTTTGAGGGCCTTCTCACCAAAGAATCCCTTCCACTATAGCAGTGGTTCTCAAAGTGTGGTTCCTGGCCCAGCAGCAACCACATTTGTTAGAAATACACATTCTTGAGTCCTACTCAGATCTACTGAATCAGACAAACCTGGGAGCAGGGCCCAGCAATCTGAGTTTTTAACAAACACTCCTGGTCATTTTGATGCACACACAAGTTTAAGAACCTGTGCCCTTTAAGAGGATTTCCTTTTCCCCACAAAAACCCCCTGAAAGATGCCTCAGGGTGTGCCTCTGTGCCCTACTGCTCACTGCTATTTTCCTATTTCCCAGGAATCCCCTTTACAAAGTACCCATCCTCCAGAAAGATTTCTTACCTACCTTGAAAGGATCTTGGCTTCTCCACAAGGTTACTCCATCCTCTGAGCAGTTATTTCCCATTCTACTTTTGAATGGTTTCTTTTCAGATCTTCCTCGGTGCTTTCTCTTTCTGGCTATCCCTGCAGCCCACTCCCAGCCTTTGGTGCTTCTTTAAATTGCTGCTTCTTTGAACACACATGTCCATCTCTTCTTGTCCATCCGTTTCTCCACATAGGCATCCTCCCCTTGAGGCACCCTCAGGAGGTCTTTTCATTCTGTGTCTTACTGCCCAGACCCCTCCACCCCCATTGTACCTCTTAGAACACTGCTCACCTTCAACCTTGTAGTTTTTAATGTACTTGCCCACTCACCCTTACTGGACTAGGAACTCTGAAAGTACGCGACGTGTCTTGTTCTTTGAATCCCACAAGGTGGGATCTACCCTTTATAAGTTACTGGAAATCACTAGAGAATAAGCAGCTCTTCCTTCTGCATTGGGCCAGAAATCTCCAAGTTTCTCAGATCTCACTCCTCATTCAGGTTTAGCACACTCTCCCTGCCCCCTCCTCTCCTCTCACCTCCCTTTTTATCTCCACACAGCACCCTTTGCCTTTCCCCCTGCCATACTTGCTCCTGTCTTTGGGACTTTCTTTGTGTTGTTTCCTGATTCTGAGCTACCCCAAGTCCTTTGCGTGGTAACCTGCCTCACCCCGTCCTGGTTGACTTCTCTTAACAGCCCCTATCAGCTGCTAAGTCTGGGGCCTCCATAGAGCTCTGAACTTTTTTCAAGGGATTCTGTTTCTCTCTAGGGCCCAGAAAGGGAAACAGAGACCCCAGGGTAAATACTGGGGCCTGCCTTCAGGGAGCTCATAATACCAGTAGGGGGCTTGGGCGTGTACAGAGCAGAAAATGAGGTACAAATTATATGCTGTAGAAATTCAGCAGTGAGAGGGAGCCCTTTATTTGGAAACTTCACAGAAAAGGTGGTATTTGGGCTGGATAGTGTTCCCTGGGAGTTGGGACAATCATGGTACCTTACAGGCAGAGGAAACAGCTTAAGCAATGGATCAAAGACAAGAAAGCCTCCTGATCCGTCACCCATGGTATCTCTTCTCTTCACCCAAAAGATAGAGATGAAAGAAGACAGATTTCCTCTATTTGCATTGTATTTGCCAACTGCACTTTAGTGACCTACAGAGTAGTAATAATAATGACCACTGGTTTTTGAATGCTTGCTAACTGCCAGGCACTGTTTAAGCATTTTACAGGTATTCATAGGAACCCTATGAGGTAGGTAAACTACCATTATCCTCATTTTGCATATGATGAGATTAAGAACAGGTAGGACTAATAGAAGGTCTGTGGGCACTGTCCATTCCAAGATGGTAGTGCCTTGGGTCAAAAAGTTGAATTTTTAGTTAAGATAGGTTTGGCTGCAATGGGGTTGTAGTTGTTAGGTATGCAGAACCTGGGTCTGGACAGGATTTGCGTCCCAAGTTACCACTCACCAGTTTTGTGCCCTAGGACAAGTTACTTCTCTGGTCTTTTAGTTTCCACAGCTAAAAAAAAAAAAAAAAAAATATGAAGGAAATAATGATACTCTACTTCATAGAATTGTTATGAGGATTAAATAAGTTAATACATGTAAAGTACTTAGAACAATACCTTGTCCGTAATTGCAATGTTAGAAGAAAAAAAAAAAAAGAAAAAAAAAAAACTCGTAGCCAGAACTCTAAAAACATAAAGTGATAGAACCTTAACTCAAAGTGGTTTAAGGAAAAAAGCGGGGGATTAATTGGCTCTTGTTACTGGAAAGTCCAGAGTTAGGTTGGCTTCAGGCCTACTGCATCCAGGTGTTCAAATAATTTTCTCAGACATCTCCTCCCATTTCTCCACTGAGTTAGCTTCATCTTCAACAAGCTTCTGCTTTGGGTAACAAAGATGGTCCTCAGCAGCCCCAGGTTTTAACCCTACCTCCTTGGAAAGCCTTAGTGGAAAGAGAACTCTTTCTTGAGAGTCCCAGTTTGAAAATAGTTTCTTCCTTGAATAGATGTGAGATTATGCCAGAAGATCCTTAGAAACATATTTTGGGTTCTGTACCCTGCAACTCAGTCTCTGTCTTGCTGAGTCAAATAGGCCTGTGATTCCATCCCATGAACTTTCTGAGCATTGATGGCAGTCTGCCTCCCCACTGTCCCCCAGCCCCAGTCATTATCTGCTCTGTGATGGTTTGGGTCTAGAGAGAGCTTATGGCTGGTCGGACTCAACCACACTTTGCTTTGGGATATCACGGGTGATATGAGGTGATCGGCCTGGCTTGATGGTGGCCTCGGGGAAGCAGAATCCAGGAGTACTGGCAATACCCTCACCACCGTTTTAGGTTTCCAAGACACAGAACTTTGGAAGACAGTTAAGTAGGGTTGCTGTGAGTGGAGTTTTGTTTGTTTTAGTGTAAACTTGTTGAATAGAAGCGGGTTCAGGGCAAGTTACAGAACAGCAGTATATGGAGTATGCAAGTCTCAAATATCTCCAGCCTGCACTCATTCATTAAACAATGCATGGAGGCACTGTTTTAGGTACTGGAGACAGAGCAGTGAATAAAACATTCAAGGTCCTGAAATTCATGGAATTTATATTCTGATGGGGGGAGTAAAACAAAGAAATCAGAGTGTGATTCATGCTATGAAGGAAAGAAAACAGTGTGAAAGAGAGGGTGGGAGTGGCCACTGTAGACAGGGGGATCAGTAGAGGCCTCTTTTGGGAGGTGACAGTTGAGCCTGATAACCAGAAAGATGAGAAGGCACCAGTTGTAGGAAGATCTGGGAGTGGAACATTCTAATCTAAGCATTGCTACATGCAGAAAAAGGACCGCTGCAAGGTGGGGAAATTTATTACAGATATTTATTGAGGGCCTGCTATGTACCAGGTGCTATGGTAGAATTGGAGATGTAGCAATGAATGATATAGCTATAGTCTTCCCTTCTCTCATGGGTCTTATAGTCTAGGTGTTTTTGGAAGAGCTGCAGCCTTTGAAGAAACGTCTCTTAATGATGATATCATAGACTCATTCCTACTGGGGAGATGAGGCAGAATGAGCCTCATCTGGGCTCAGGTGAGCCCAGATCTGATTGATGAGAGGAAACCAACCTTGTGACAGTCTGGGGAATAGCATTTCAGGCAGAGGGGTCAGCAGGTGCAAAAGCCCTGCGATGTGTTCAGGGAATAACAAGGACCAGTGTGGCTAAAGCCTAAGTGAGGGAGAGGGGCGAGGGGTTGGAAAGGCTGACAGAAGCCAGATCACTTGGGGCCTAAGGGCCACAGTGAGGAGTTTCTATTTTCATTTAAGGGGATTGGGAAACTATTAGAAGGGAGTTTTTGAAAGCAAGACAGTGACATGATCTGATTAACTTTTTTTTAGAAAGCTCACTTTGGTTTCTGGGAGGAAAACAGAGGGTCAGGACAGAATCAGGAAGGAAAGTTGGGAGACAATCCATTTGTCCAGATGAGAAATGGTGACATAAATGTGGTGGTGGTAGTGAAGATGGAGAGAAGCAGATATATTTTGGGTGTACAGAAAACAGGACTTGATGATAGGATTAGAGAGAGGAATCTAGGATAGTAATAATAGCCAAGTCATTTATGCCTCACAACTCTATGAGAGTAGGCACTATTATTATTTTCTGTCTTCCTCCTCAATAGGTACTATTATTACACCCACATTACAGATGACAAAACAGGCACAGCAAGGTGAAATCACTTGCCCAAAATTACACAGGTAGTAAGTGGCAGGCTTATATTTCCAACCCGGCACTCTGGTTCTAGAGCCACTTAGGTTTGGGGAGAGATAAGGAAGGCATGTGTAGCTGACATTAAGAAAAAGGAAATATCAAGACCTAATGACTGGGTCTTTGGGAAATGGAAGAAGTCAAAGATGACTCAAAAAATGTCTCAGTTGTCCACAGAGAGGTGATAATTGAATCTACAGGAGTTGATTACATTCCTAAGTGAGAGAAAACAAGCGTTAAGAAGGGAAAGGAAGCACAGGATAAACTTTTCAGGGGAAGGGGTGTCAAGACATTTAGGAGTGGGAGGAAGAACACTAGCTTCCTCTCTATTGCAGAGTTTCCCAGAGCTCCCCATACTGTGCTTATCTTCCAGGAGGCCCTGCCTGGCTTCTCCTCTCCTCTCCCTCCCTTCCCCAGCACCATTCATACAAAAAGCTCATTCTCTGCTAGTGCAGTGGTATACATATTTTGTGTACATATTTCAGGAGTTTCTGGAAATAATGGTTGGTTCTTAGAAGTTGGGCTCCCTTGGCTTCTGATAGTCTCTTCTCAGGTTATGAAAGTGAGTTAACCCTAGGTAACTAGCCTGTTACCTTGTTCATGAAGTGTCAGTTCCTCAAAGGCCTAGGTCGTGCTGTAAAAAGAAGTAGGAATGGGTAAAAAGGCAGATAGGATCCCCTTATTTATCCTGAGATGTTGATATTAAAGGGCCCTTAGGCCCAACTTTTACCACGTTGCCCAGGCTGGTCTCACTGGGCCCAAGCGATCTGCCCACCTCAGCCTCCCAAAGTGCTGGGATTACAGGTGTGAGCCACCATGCCCAGCTTCGTTGCATTGTTAAGAGCAAGCAAGAACTCTGAAGCCAGACTGCCTGGCCTTGAAAATCTCAGCTTAGTGTACAGTCTTGGGCAAAGTGACTGCTCTGTGCCTCAGTTTCTCCATCTGTAAAATGACAATATATTCGTATATGTATGTAATATATTTTTAAAATAGAGTTTTGGGAATCAAATGTGCTTATCTGTGGAAAGCTGTTAGCAAAGGGCCTGACAATGTATGATGTATGAAGACATGCTAAACATCATGATTGCTGTTGAAATGAAGTATAGCGGAGGGAAAAAGCATCATGCCAGTTATTTTTAAATACATTGTTTCATTTAATTCTTCTAACAAGCTTCATTGAGGAAGAAACAGAGTTACTTGCCATAGTCAATACAGCAAGTAAGTATAACAGAGAACCAGGATTTAAGCCAGGTCTGACTCCACATTCTGCTTCTGAATGAAGAGAGCTGGCCTCCAGAGGCACAGTTTATGGGCATATGGGCCTTTTCTCACTGGGGCCAGAGAAGAAGCCCAGAGGGCAGTTTGCCCTGGAACATCTTAACTTTTTTTTTTTTTTTTTTGAGACAAAGTCTCGCTCTTGTCACCCAGGCTGGAGTGCAGTGGCGCGATCTCAGCCCACTGCAACCTCCACCTCCTGGGTTGAAGCAATTCTCCTGCCTAAGCCTCCTGAGGAGCTGGGATTACAGGCGCCTGCCACCATGCCCAGCTAATTTTTTGTGTTTTTAGTAGAGACAGGGTTTCACCGTGTTGGCCAGACTGGTCTCGAACTCCTGACCTCAGGAGATCCGCCTGCCTCGGCCTCCCAAAGTGCTGGGATTACAGGTGTGAGCCACCTCACCTGGCCTTTCTCCAGGTGGGAGTGCAGTGGCACAATCTCAGCTCACTGCAGCCTTGACCTCCAGAACTCAAGTGATCCTCCCACCTCAGCCTCCTGAGTATCTGGGACTGCAGGTGCACGCCACCATGCCTATCTAATTTTTGTAGAGACAGGGTTTTGCCATGTTGCCCAGGCTGGTCTGGAACTTTTAGCTTTTTTTTTGAGACAGGGTCTCACTCTGTTGCCCAGGCTGGACTGGAGTGCAGTGGCACGATCTTGGCTCACTGCAACCTCTGCCTCCTGGGCTCAAGTGATTCTCCTGCCTCAGGCTCCCAAATAGCTGGGATTACAAGTGCACGCCACCACACCCAACTAATTTTTTTGTAATTTTTGTAGAGGCAAGGTTTCACTATGTTGCCCAGGCTGGTCTCGAACTCCTGAGCTCAAGCGATCCACCTGCCCAGGCCTCCCAAAGTGCTGGGATTATCGGCGTGAGCCACTGCGCCCAGCCTTCTTAGCCATTTTGTTAACTTCGTTTCCCACCTCTGGAGGGTGGTAGGGGCTTCCCAAGAAGATCACTCGGACCTCTTCAAGTATGGCAGCAATATTGCTGGGCTGTTGGAGAGACTTTTGTTATAGAGGTCCCCCTCTTGTGTCTTTCCTCAAAGGCAAGGAGTCATTTTTGGTAACATGAGGACAAAGAGACCAGACCAGTGGTGAATTCTGTTTTGCATGGGAATTGTCAAGGCTCTTTCAGTTTTAACTGAAACCCAACTCAAACTGGCCTAAGTCAAAAAGGAATTTATTCGTCTATGTAACTGAAAAGAGTGAGCCACAAGGGGGAGGCTTCAGGCTAGCTGCATCTAGGTTTTAAATCACGTGAACAGACCTCCCTTTCCCCCTCCCCCATCTCTTGACTCTACTGTTACCTGTGTTAGTTTCATTCCGAAGCAGGCTTCCACCATGAAATAGAAGAGGTGGCAACTGGTGACATCATGAGACGATGTATAATCTGAGCAACCCTAACCAATGGCTTATTTTCCTTAGTAGTTCCAGCAAAAATCCAGAGAGGACTATCCTTGGCCAGGCTTTAACCCATGTCCACTTCTGGAGCCAAGAAAGACAGTTCCTTCTCCAAGGGGAACCCAGGGTGTTGATACTAGAAGATGGAAGTGGATACAGTAAGATGCTGCCACAGTGAGATGCCTCACACAGATCTCCCTCTGTCACTCCAGCCAAGCACATGGGATAGAAAGTAGCAGGCGGCCTCTGGCCCTTCAGTGGAGGAGGGCCATCCAGTCCTCTCCAGTTAACATCTAGACCAAACACAAAACATCCTTCTCTCATCCAGAAGACATAGGAACCCTTCCTTCAGGGATGATTTTTTTTAACAGTGAAATCTTAAAAGTAACTGTTTCACTAAAGCCTCCAGTGTTTACTGAAGATTGTCAGAATCATCCTCCATCACTAGATCTTCTCCACCAGTCATATTCCCTGAACAGTGGGGTGGCTTGAAGGTATAAACCAGAGAGGCCCAAGGGAGGGGTAGTTAGCAGACTTCTGGTCTTTTTCTAGTTTGTGCTCATCTGTTCCAAGGACCACAGGTATGTTCTCTTCTGTGTAGTCATTCACTGTTGTTCTAATGTGATTCGTTTCCCACATTTGAAAATAGGGGGATTTTACTTTAAAATCCAGACATCTAGCTCCTCTTTAGTGGGGAAAAAAAAAACAACTAAGATGTAACAATACTGAACCCACATTCCTTCATGGTAACAGTTGATAAGAGGTGGATAGTGACTTCTCCCTTTAGACCGGGTGTGGACTTTCCAACTCACCATAGTCCCAGTTGGCCTGCTTTGTTCAAAGCCTGGCCTTCTAAGCAACATGTTTGAGACCCCATTATGTCCCAAAGCTTTGCTTCTATCATTTGGCCTAGGGGGAAAAGCTGGATTAATGTTTAGTCAGCAGCTCATTGGGTGGATGGAGTGGGGGGAACAGTGCTATTGCTTAGGAAAAGTAACAACCCAGTAAAAGAATTTATGGGAAAGAGTGTGCACAACTTTGGTCTGTTTGTGGATTTGGTCGTTTTTTTGCTGTAAATGCTGTTGGCATATCAAACCTCCCGTCACAAATGTTCCCTCTGAAATAGTAACATGTCCTTCTATCTTATGAGTTGCCACCCAGTGAAGGAATCCCTCCCACTCCCAAGGGATGTTCATCCAGCCTCCGCTTGACCACTTCCAGCAGCCAGGGAGCTTATTACCTCCTCACATGGCAGCCAGTTCCATTCTTGGACAGATGCGTTATTTAAAAATTCTTCCTTATGTTGAGGCAGCTGCTGCCTCCTTGGGACTGAAAGCCACAAAATGCTGGAGCTGGGAAGGAAAACCGATTTTTTTTAGGCGCATGAGCTACCACTCATCCACCCTGCATCCAGGGCAAACATTGATAATTAATCACAGCACTCTTTCTCACTGAGTCAGGAAGTATGCTGCCTTAAAATTGTTTTTCATTAAATTCTTTTTTAAAAATTACAAAAGCAATATGTATTCACTTGCAGCTAGTGAAATAGTACAAAGTTATATAAAGATAGTGTTAATAATCCCCCTGTTTCTCCAAGATAGTGTTGGCAGCTGAGGGTGTATTCTTCTATACATTTATACACATACATAGATATTCATATATAAGATATATAAGGGGTTTTGTATGTGGCTTCTTTTAATTTAAAAAGTGGCATTATATTGTACATATTACTGTGTAGCTTGTGGACACCCCTCCAAGTAATTACAGATCAAACATTGTATATAGCTTTGTTTTTTGTTTCCTTTTCTTCTTTTTGATATGGAGTCTCGCTCTGTCACCCAGACTGGAGTGCAATGGCATAATCTCGACTCACTGCACCCTCCACCTCCTGGGTTCAAGTGTTTCTCCTGCCTCAGCTTCCCAAGTAGCTGGGACTACAGGCGCCCGCCACCACACCCGGCTAATTTTTGTATTTTTAGCAGAGATGGAGTTTCGCCACCTTGGCCAGGCTGGTCTCGAACTCCTGACCTCAGGTGATCTGCCTGCCTCAGCGTCCCAAAGTGCTAGAATTACAGGAGTGAGCCACCGCGCCTGGCCAGATTAGGCGTGTTTTTAATAGATATGTTATATCATACAATGTGGGATCTGCCCCAATTTATTAATCATTCCCCGTTAATGGATATTCCCATTCATTTCTTTAGGATTCTTCTCATCGCAGTGCTCCAGGCAGCCAACTACCAATCGATTGGAGTTAGCCTGTGAGGTAAAACCTATTTGTCATGTCTCACCCAGTCCAGCTCCTTGTCATACATTCTAGAGAAGAGAACAGACTAGCTCCGTGATCAAAGTGAATCAGTGGCTTGGGGCAGGACTAGAACTGAATTTTCTTGACTTTCAACATTTCCCGTATCCCATGTTGTCACTCCCTTAGAGTCATCTACCCTGCTTTTCTCCTCTAGAGTAAAAGAACAAATATAATTTCTCTTCTGTGTGCTACCTCTTCAGATATCCAAAGTCAGTTATGCCATTCCCCTTAAGTCTTCTCTTCCCTAGAGGAAATCTCCTCAGTGCCTTCAGTTTTTTTTTTTTTCTTAAAACAAGGTTTTCAAATTCCTTTACCATCCTATGAGCTGTTCCTTCTATCTTCTTTCCCCCCAGGGCTGTAGAAATCTCAAGTGTGGCTTCCACATTCACCTTCTATAGCTATTTATTTATTCAATAAATACATATTGGGCACCTTCTGCATGCCAGGCACTGTTGTAGGCACTGGCTGACTGTATGGCTTGCATTTTGGTCAGTAGAGAGAAACATAAATAAGGTGATACCTGAGAGTGCCAAATTATATAGGAATGAAATAGTGTTAATATAATTGGAGGAGAAACTCCTGAGATTGGATGGTCAGGGAAGCTGTCTTTGAAGAAATGGCAGTGAGCTGAGACCTGAATGACAAGTAGGAGTCAGCCTCTAGGGGAAGACAATTCCACTGAATAAGAAATAATTTGGTACAAGATGAGGTTGGAGTGGCCACAGGAGTCCTGTAGGGCTCTGTAGGCCAAGATAAGAAGTTTGGAATTTGTTTAGATTTTTTTTTTTCTTTTTTCTGAGACAGAGTTTTGCCCTGTCACCCAGGTTGGAGTGCAATAGCATGATCTTGGCTGACTGCAACATCCACCTCCCAGCTTCAAGTGATTCTCGTGCCTCAGCACCCCCAGTCACTGGGATTGCAGGTGTGCACTAGCACGCCTGGCTAATATTTGTATTTTTAGTAGAGATGGGGTTTCGCCACTTCGGCCAATCTGGTCTTGAACTCCTGACCTCAAGTGATCCACCCGCCTTAGCCTCCCAAAGTGCTGGGATTACAGGCAAGAGCCACCACTCCTGACCTTGTTTAGATTTCATTTAAGTGCAATGGGAAGTCATTGGAGAAGTTTAGGCCAGGGAGGTGACATCTGATTTCCCTTTTTAAAAAAAAATTGCTGGATGCTTGTTTAACTTGGAGCAAGGTTTCATTTTCCCTCATACCTTTCTTGCTTCTTACATCCAAAGGGATTGGCAACTAGGCCAGTTCCATCTGTTTAGGGGCCCCACAGGGGATCTGTGAGGCAAGTCACAGCTGTTGCCTAATGCACCCCACAGCCCTCCTCAGCAAGCACAGGGAAGTTCAGAGAGATTTGAGTAGCTCCCTTAGACCTGAGCCCAGTAGATTCAATGGGTCTTTGTATGAAGTTCTCAGTCCAGGGAACCTTAGTCCTTTGGCAGCCAGAGGAGGATGGAGCTGAATGTGGTTTGAGGATAACGCCAAGGGCACTGGTTGCAAGAGAGACAGATGGAAGAAATGTTGAGTGGAGATATGGAGCTCAAGACACTTAGAAAAAGGCTTCGGAGTAGTGTCCAGAAACCAGCCAACTGAAAAATAGAGCTGTTGTTTGCCCAGTTGAAATAACTTTTCTGTAGTTCCTGCCTAAGAGGGGGATTTGGACACTTTGCAGCTTGTGAGTTTTTGACTTTTGATCTGTCCACTTCCCCTCAGGTTGGCATTTTCTTGGCTTCCAAGAGGAGCCTGAGATGAGCTGGCATCTCTGGAAGTCAGGGGGACTTCCCAACCAGAGAGTTTAGGTTTGGAGCAGCCTTCAGGTGAATTAAGAGGACAGGGAGCGATTCACCTCAGAATAGAGATGAGTAAAATCTGATAAATCAGAGCTAGATCTTTTCCATTAGTCAGGGAGCTGGGTTAGAGGGGGTGAGATTCCCTCAGTCTGTTGGTGATCTTTGAAAAGCCCTTTGTCCATGCCCACACCTGATAGATACCCAGCCAGTTACTGATCAGATGACTGGCTGCATACCTGAGATCTCCACCAGGGTCACTACCCCACCATCCATCCTCTGCCAGCATTGCGGGACTAGCTTGAAGTAATTTAAAGAGCCCTTGGAGTCCTATCAGTAGATTAGCAGACACACTGTCTAGCTCTCAGAAAAGGTAGCCAGAAACCAGCAAGGTCAGAGATGTGCTGTGCTTAGTCACGTCACCTTGGTCCAGATCGCCATCAATTCGTATCTTTTCTCATAATTTGCAGCCTTCTATTTCCCACTTCTGAAAAATCTTTCCAGTGTATTTTCTGTATTAAATCCGCTTCCTTTGATACTATAACAGCCAGGTGTGGGGGCCAACATCTCCTTGGTCTCTGGGATAAGCATCTGAGTCCCAGTCACGCCTTTTGTCTGGATCTGGAGATTTGGGTGAAAGTTGCTTTAATATCTGGTGTTGGCTTCATCTTTCTTCCAGGAGCTCAGCAGAGCAAGTACCCTGAAAGAGAAAGGCATGAGGCCTTCATGCCCCCTCAACCCACACTCACCAGGCAAGTTTCAGCCCCTTCTTTCTGTTTGACCCCTTTGCTTCCTTTTTCAGGAGACTGGAGAGGCGTGGCTGGACCAAGACCTCCCCCCATGTGAGCAGGCTTCCTCCTCCCCTAACAATCGTTGCCACCACGCCCAGAAACGTCCTTAAGCCCTGGCCCTCAGGGAAAAGGTAACAGGAGGCCAGAGCGGGGACCATGTGACGGCGCTGGCCCTCGCCACCGCCGTCCCCCCACCCTGGCCCCAGGCCCGGCACCATGATGTTCCGAGACCAGGTGGGCATCCTCGCTGGCTGGTTCAAGGGCTGGAATGAGTGTGAGCAGACAGTGGCCCTGCTGTCACTTCTGAAACGGGTCACCCGTACCCAGGCCCGCTTCCTGCAGCTCTGCCTGGAGCACTCACTGGCGGACTGCAATGACATCCACCTGCTGGAGTCGGAGGCCAACAGTGCTGGTGAGTCTCCACCCTTAGAGATGGGAGCACAGCAGGAGGGAGACCTGGAATAGATGTCGCATGGCTAAGGAGGTCAACTCAACAATGGGGCTAAAAAATGTGGGTTGTAGGCTTGGTGGGTGGGGAGTTCCTTACCTCCTAAGTTGTCATCATGGGTCTTCTGGGACTGTGTTGCCATAAATCCTCAGGCATGGCATGGTGGACTTATGGGAGAAGGCAGTGCAAACTGGAAACTCCCCATAACAGGAAGATCATGTAGAGTGGCTTATGTGGGCTGCTGAAAGGAACAGACTAAATTAGTCATTATGAAAGGGGTATAGAAGGTGAGCAGTAATTAATTTCTTAAGCTTCAGGATATCAGGGCTAGGAGGTAATTTGAGAACTCTTCCAAAATTCATGTCATCCTATACTATTCTTTACCCTCAAAGTTAGGTTGGACTTAAAGCATAAGCAGCTTCCAGTTCCAGAGAGTTTTGAATTTAGATACAGTTCATCCTGTCAGTTCCCTAAGTACTTATTAGAGAGGCAGTCTGTGTCCTGTGAGATTGGCATTGGGATGGGTGAGCCAGGCTTCTCTAAGACCTGTCTCTTAGGCCCCAGTTGTAGACAGGAGTCAGGCTAGAATCAGGGGCTACTGCTGAAGCTGTTCTGGCTGTGTGGGCCTCCACAGAGCTGGATGGAGAACTGTTGGCCTCAGTGCCAAGAGGCTCCATGCAGTTTGTCCAAATTAGTCACCCTAACTCTTTGCACCTTCTTCAGAATAATAGTTCATATTGAGCCCTTACAACAAGCCAAGTACTGTCTTTACTTGTATATTAACTTTAAAAGCAGTGTTCTTGGCCAGGTGCTGTGGCTCACGCCTGTAATCCCAGCACTTTAGGAGGCCGAGGCTGGCAAATCACCTGAGGTCAGGAGTTCGAGACCAGCCTGGCTAATGTGGCAAAACCCCATCTCTATTAAAAGTACAAAAATTAGCTGGGCGTGGTGGCAGGCACCTGTAATCCCAGCTACTCGGGAGGCTGAGGTGAGAGAATCGCTTGAACCTGGGAGGTGGAGGTTTCAGTGAGCCAAGATTGTGCCTTTGCACTCTAGCCTGGGCTATGAGAGCAAAACTTTGTCTCAAAAAAAAAAAAAAAAAAAAAGCAGTGTTCTTGTGTGGCTCTCAAGTCAGACTAAGTTTAAATCCCAGTTCTGTTACTTGCCATATAACCAAGTAATTTAACCTCTCTGTGCCTCAGTTTCCTGCGCGCCACCACACTTGGCTAATTTTTGTATTTTTAGTAGAGGCAGGGTTTCACCATGTTGGTCAGGCTGGTCTCGAACTCCTGACCTCGTGATCTGCCCACGTCAGCCTCCCAAAGTGCTGGGATTACAGGCGTGAGCCACCGCACCCAGCCAGTTTCCTCATCTTAAATTCAAGATGATATCCTGAGAAGTATGTAACCTCAGTAAAAAGAAAAGGAAAGAAAAAATCAAGATGATAATTATATCTGCTTTCTAGGGTATTTGTGAGGATTCAATTAATTAACACATGTGGCCGGGCGCGGTGGCTCACGCCTGTAATCCCAGCACTTTGGGAGGCCGAGGCGGGTGGATCACGAGGTCAGGAGATCGAGACCATCCTGGCTGACACGGTGAAAACCCGTTTCTACTAAAAATTACAAAAATTAGCTGGGCGTGGTGGCGGGCGCCTATAGTCCCAGCTACTCCGGAGGCTGAGGCAGGAGAATGGCGTGAACCCGGGAGGTGGAGCTTGCAGTGAGCCGAGATCGTGCCACTGCACTCTAGCCTGGGTGACAGAGCCAGACTCTGTCTAAAAAAAAAAAAAAAAACAAAAAAAACGAGTAGCTTCCTACATGCCTGACATGTAGTAAACACTTAATAACTGCCAGTTGTTATTTTTAATGTCAATGACTCATTTAGTCCTCACAACAACCCCATGAGGTAGGTCCTGTCGTTAGCCCCATTTTACAGGTGAGGAGACAAGCATGGGCTGCTAGGATTGGGATTTGGGGAGCCACACAGCTGCCTGGCCTCCCTCGTCTCCCCAGGCCCACCTGCCTTAGCATCAGTCACCTTTATTTTACTGAGTTTTTATGTGGAAGTCACAGAAGCAGCATGATCGTAGCGGGAGACAGTTACTCAGGCCAGGTGTCACACCAGCTTAGTTCCTAGTCTGGCAGTAAGTTCTTAGTCCTAGACAAAGAGCAATAAGAACCCAGCTCAGCTGCAGCAGGCTCAGAGCTCAGCCATTTCTTACCCCTGCCACACTCTCCACTACTCTAATACTAAAGGCAGGAGTTATGTTTGTGGTATAACTCTGCCTTCAGAGTAGGGGCTCCTGTGGGGCAGGCCAGTGTTTTACATAGCTTCGTCACACATCCCCACTGCCTCTTCCTGAGCAGGCAGTTGGATTCCCACTGGGTGCCACTCTTGGCTGTATATCAGAATCACCAGTAGTACTTGGTAATTTGAGTATTTTTAGTTTTTGCTTTTGTTTTCAGAACTTGTAGTAAAATCAGATAGTACAAAATGTGAAAGTGAGGTTTTTCTTCCAGACTTCACGTTCTCGTTTCCTTTTGTTTTATGAGATAAATTCCCTGCATATATGAATGCATACATATTCTCCTTCCAACTTTGTCATTGTTTTGTCTTAATACATATGGCCAAACATGCATATTAGCCAGTTTGGTTTTTTTCACTTACCAATTGATTTGAAGATCATTCCATATTCAGCACATACGTCTATATCTTCTTGTTAAGTATTTATTTACACCTCACAGCAACTCTGTAGGGTGGTCCCTGTTACTCCCCCATTTTACAGAGGAGACTGAGGTCTGGAGATATTCAGTGACTTGCCGTGGGTCACACAATTGATAAGATGTAGAATTCAAATTTGACTTCAGAATTCTTCAGAGGTCTTGACCAATAGACTCCTCCACATGGTACATGTGGTCTTCCTCTTACAAACAGTGATGTAATAAGTGCCCTTGAAACATCTCTAGGATGAACTCTTCAGATTCTGCAGAACTGCTAGTTTAGAGGTATATGCAATTAAAATATTTTTTCTCACTACATTGTGCTTGAAAGACATGCTGCATTTTATACAAATAACCTGAGGACCATTCCCAGATGGTTTGCAATGGGATATTGGTGGTAATGCCTAGCCAGGGTTGAGAAGTGCTGTGAAATGAATTGAATGATGAATGAACATATGAATCAAGGTTTTTATCCATAGCCCCATGTCAGATGGTGAGAATATAACAAGCTGGTACTTAAATAGGTGGAGAGGAAAGGAGAACTTAGAATGAGGGAGAGCCATGGTGTGTTCCAGAGTCAGCAGGAAGCCTGCCGGGACTGGAGCAAAGCATGAGTTGAAAGAGAAGTGATCACAGAGGTAAATTCTGGTAGAGTCTTGAATGCCTGTTTTCTAGTAGACCTACGGGCTCTAAGACTAAGAAGGCAGATGCCTCCTGTCTCACTCCTACCGTCAAGTAGAACCCCACCTGCCTTATTTGTAAAGGAAGGTGCTACTTTCTGGGCCTAGAGACCTGCCTCAAAGAAGGAGCTGTTCATACTCTTGTTTCTCCTCTGGTTATTATGGCCTTCCCATTCCCTGGTGTTTCTCAGACTTGCATCATCATCAGAATCACTGGGGACAGGTGACTGTTAAAATCCAGATTTCTGCCCCCCGTAGACCTACTAAATCAGAATCTTGAGGGGATGGGCCTGGGAATGAGTACCCAGGTTCTTCTGCTCACCAGGTAGTGTGAGAGGCGATGCCCCGCTGGATGATTCATTTGTTGTGAGACATGAGACACCCAAGAGTTGTAGATCCAGCTCTCCACTAACACCTCTTGTGACCTGGGTCAATCCTGCCTGACCCTCTTGGGCCTCAGGATCCCTATTTGGACAGTGAGGGGGTTGTTCTGGTACTTTCCAGGTACTTCTTGGGCTCTGAAATAATGTGTCAAAGAAGACAGAGCCTTGGGAGAGGCCCAGCACGTTCTTCTAGGGCAAGAGTTCTTAATATTTAGCGGGATAGACCACTCAGAAAATCTTCCCCTCCTCCCCACTGTCCCCAAAAAGATGCATACCTATTCCACAAACCAGATCTTGAATTCAGTTGGTTCACTAGTCCCCAGTTAAGAGTTGCCTGTCTCCCTGGCCGGGTGCAGTGGCTCACGCCTGTAATCCCAACACTTCGGGAGGCCAAAGTAGGCGGATCACGAGGTCAGGAGATCGAGACCATTCTGGCTAACACAGTGAAACCCCATCTCTACTAAAAATACAAAAAAATTAGCCGGGCGTGGTGGCGGGCACCTGTAGTTCCAGCTACTCGGGAGGCTGAGGCAGGAGAATGGTGTGAACCTGGGAGGTGGAGCTTGCAGTGAGCCGAGATCGTGCCACTGCACTCTAGCCTGGGTGACAGAGCCAGACTCCGTCTCAAACAAAAAAAAAAAAAAAGAAAAGAAAAGAAAAAGAGGTGCCTGTCTCCAAGCCCTTCTTTTTTTTTTTTTTTTTTTTTTTTTTTTTTTTTTTTTTTTTTTTTTTTTTTTTTTTTTTTTTTTTTTTGAGATGGAGTCTCACTTACACGCGGAGTGCAGTGGCCGATCTCGCTCAATGTCAAGCTCCGCCTCCCGGGTTCACGCCATTCTCCTGCCTCAGCCTCCCGAGTAGCTGGGACTACAGGTGCCTGCCACCTTGCCTGGCTGGTTTTTTGTATTTTTTTAGTAGAGACGGGGTTTCACCGGGTTAGCCAGGATGGTCTCAATCTCCTGACCTCGTGATCCGCCCGTGTCGGCCTCCCAAAGTGCCGGGATTACAGGCTTGAGCCACCGCGCCCAGCCTCCAAGCCCTTCTTTAGCTTGGTCCATTCAAACCCAGAGAGCTGACCAGTGAGGCAGATCCTCTGCTTTTTTCTGGGTTGTATCTCCATGTCCCACAAAGCCAACCTTACTACTTCCTCCAGTTCTCCAGGAAAATCTTGGGTGTGGGTC